AGAAGTATGAGCAATAAAAGATTTGATAGTTTCTTTGAGAACCCACTTTTTTTTTGTATTTTTCATTGCTTTATGATTAACCTTGGGCTGAACACAAGACCTAGGATATCCATACAGTCTAAAACAGAAGGGTTTGATATGGTCAAACTTACCACATTAATGACATCTCCACTACTGGGCCTTGCTTCCATTTTTACCATACTTATACCTGTCTTGATGTTGAGACAGTTGTTCTAACATCCATGGCTCTTCCACCCTTCCAGTTGGAATGAGTTTTGTAGCCTTAGGGTCTCATTTTAGGATTTGATTATTAAACCTTATGCCTCTTAAGTCACCAGCCTTTTGTCCAACTTGAAGAATTTCATCTAACATGTTAGAACCATTACTCAATATTCTTATAGACTTGTTCATATTTTCAAGTTTGGAGGTCAGCATGATCACCTCACCTTGTAGACTATAGATGTTGGACAAACACTTTTCCTTCTCATACTGAAGTTAAGAGATAGTTTCATGTTATTTTTCACTTTTAATGCACATGTCTTTGTAGGAAACGACTAGTTCAACATAAGGAGTATCTTCATCACAAGACTCTACATCAGATGCCCATCTTCCAGTTAAAGTAGTTACACATTTTGCTGTCTCATCATCACTTTCATTTTCCTTTTCAGGCCACAAGGTAGCCAACCTCTTAAGTTGTTTCTTTAGATAAGTGAGACATTCTGCTTTAATGTGTCCAAACCCTTCACATTCATGACATTGAACCCCTCTATTTTGATTGGTCCTTTCTTTAGTCCTTGCTCTTCTTCGAAAGTCATAATTCCTGCTGGAGTTAGAACTGATGTTCTTGGAATTAGGTCTTGACTTCCTCTCCATTCACTTTAGCACTTGATTGAACTGTTTTCCTAGTAACACAATGACACTGTACATCCTTTCATTTGTATCAAGTTCACTTTCTTCCTATTTGTCTTTTGATTTGGAAACAAAAATAATGCTTTTGCTCTTCTTTTCAGTTTTGTCATTAATGGTCCATTCAAAGGTTTAAAGTGACCCCACGAGCTCATCAACTCTCATATTACTGATGTTTCGAGGTTCTTCAATGGATGTGAAATTTATGTCAAATTTCTTAGGGATATACTTAAAATTCTTCCTAACCAACTTTTCTTCTGATATCTTTTCTCCCAAGGCACTGAAGGCATTATCTATTCCAAAAACATTCATGTAAAATTCATGGATACTTTCATCTTCCCTCATCTTAAGGTTTTCAAATTTGGTAGTGAGTAGCTGAAGTCTAGACATCTTTACTTTAGACGTGCCTTCATGAGTTGTCTTAAGAATTTCCCAAGCATCCTTAGCCACAGTACACATGTTGATCAGCCTAAATATGTTCTTGTCAACTCCATTGAATAAAGCATTCAAGGCTTTAGAATTTCTAAGAGCAACTCCAACTTCTTCCTTGGTCCAATCCTCTCCAGGTTTCAGAAATTCCTTCCTATCTTTATCTTTAACCACAAGATGTTCCTAGCCCTTGATGACAACTTTACAAGTTTTGTTATCCGTGGATTTTAAAAAAGCTACCATACGTGCTTTCCAATAATTATAGTTAGGTCCATCCAAAATAGATGGTTTATTCATATTACCTCTTCCTTCCCTATCCATAGTGCCAGAAAAAAAAACCATTGAAGCTCATACAAAAATAGAACAGGGTAACCAGCTCTGGTGCCAATTGAAATTCTGGCACGCATATACCAAATATCGAGACAAATGTCACAATACTGGAATCAAGACAGTTTGATCACATAAGTAAATATGCAGAAACTTAAAGGGCGAAAAGATAAAGAGCATCACTAGTTGTTAACCCATTTCGGTGCAATGTCACCTACATCTGGGGGCTACCAAGCCAGGAAGGAAATTCACTATGATAGTATTAGTTCAAATCTAAACTCCTCAGTTTATAAATTCTTGCATAATCACTACCTTATTCAACTTCTACCCAGACACCTTCTAGATATGAGATCCTCTTCTCACTTCCTCTTAGTCACAAACTAGTGACAATTTAACAACCACCCAAAATAGAAGTACCAACCCTCAAAGTACAATGTTTGGTTTTGCTTAAAAGCTTCAACCAAGATCAATACACTATTGCTTAAAAGCTTTAGAGTGAATAATTAACAATGAACAATCAGTCAACTTAATGCATAAAACTTGATACAAGAGTGACATACAAAGAAAACACACTAAACTCTAAAGAAACTCCAATACACGACTAATCCTCATTCTTCAAAATCCATGCAATGTTCAAGTTGTAATAGGTATAGGTCTTCTCTTTAAAAAGTCTTCAGATCTCGTGGGCTTGGTCTTCAAAATAAAATGCAAATCACCAGGAATTAGCTTCAAATCATCAGCATAATTTCCTGCACAAAAATAGGAACAAAATACAAAGTATCCTAAAAAAGGTTCAAAGATCCTTTTTACGAAAACCAACACAATCTGTCAAAACAAAAGTTTCCACAATATCCCTCATTGGATAACGCAAACGTGTGAATTAAAACACACTCAAAATTCACACTAAAAATATCAAAACAATCATGCCCTAACTTTCTGGTATAACATGTCCTAGCACATGTCACAACATCATGATGAACATGATGTCTGACTATCATGGTAGGACATCTGGTTTAACATCTTACTGACATAATGTTTTACCAAAATATTATAAATCCGAAAAGTGTAGAACTTACAAATAACTTTCGCTTTCTGAATGTTCTTGGATTTTGAAAAGTCTGCTTCCCTTGAGCATTTGATGCATCACTAGAAGATCATTGTCAACCTAGTTTCCTGACTTGCAGGAGCACCAACTGAAGGGGCTCGATCATTGTCAGCTTTCCCAGAGGATATTAAGAAGACTGATTCAAAATCCATTACTTTGGAATCAACAACTCCCAATAGAGCTCCAACTGCATAAACATGACCAACATTTAGAATATTCCATTTGTACGTTCACCTAAAAAATAAAGTTAATCAATTATAGCTTAAATCAACAATGATATAAAAATAAGGTTCACAAGAAATCTGGCATATGAAATAGAATAATCAACAACAATGATGCAATCTCCACCCATAACCTCAACCACCTGAAAATTTAAAGAAATATACACGTAGATCATTAAAGAGATTACCATTTGCAATAAAAATATGTGAGTATATTTTACCTTGCCAGTAAAATTCTGGTCATGAATTGCCTTGGAATTTGAAACCGGTGGCACATAGTTTGTCCAAATTCTTAACCTACTTTTCTTAGGCTCAAGCTCTGCAGACTTCAGTTTCCGCTTTGCATCTTCTTCCGTCATGTTTGTACTCCATTCAACATATTTAGCAAAACCCTATTTGGTGAAAAAAATTAAATTGAGAAAGACTTAAGGCATATATTAAATGACATTTCATGGGGTAAAAGACATGGAGAAACAGTTTGTCTGGGCTCAATTTAGGAACTCTTACAAAATCAACACTTTTCCTAAATCTTAAACCAGATTCAGATATCCTGAGGCTGGAAGAAAAAACACAGATTTATAGTTAAAATAGAAAAGTGAAAACGATAACAAAAATGTAAACAAAAACGAATGCAAACAGATTTAAAAGAGAAATGAAACAACTTTACCATTATCAGTGAACAAATTCTTGATAAGTTGAATGAATTTGTGGTGGAGATGACCGTGCAACAGTATGAGCCACTAAGGAGGGTGAGGAACCTGTTAGAGTTTGAAGGGAAAATAGAAAGAGGAGAAAAATGTTGTTCGGAGGAAAACTGATGAGAGAGAACATATAGAAAGGTTGTCTCAAAAGTTTAAAAATTGAAAAGAGTATCTACTAATTTGTTGCCACTTGACAATATAGGCTATTTTCTTTGGACATGAAATGTGTATTAGTCAATTACATGTAAGTTGACAACATGTAAGTGTAAGTTTAAAAGTTAAAAAAGGATAAATTAGAGAGTACTTATGGATGTTTTGATCTAGACAGTAGAAGGACATCTATATTTATTTCTTGGCAAAACTGCTCTTTTAGTCCTTTAAGTTATTTTAAAATATCAAACTAGTCTCTTACATTTTTTTGTAACACTTTGGTCTTTTTTTAAAAATCTCTGTTACAATTAATTGCAAACTCATATATCATTTGAACTAATTTTTTGCGTTGATCACAAATATGCAATCAAATTTATCAAACAAGTTACAGTTCATGAGAATCAGGTAAAAATGGACGAAATACATAATGAAAAATCAACGATTAGACCAAAATACACAATCGAACGCAAAACTAATTACATGTTCGTGATCAGCGCAAACAACCAGTTCAAATGGTATATGAGTTTGTAATTTATTATAACAGAATTTTTAAAAAAGAATCAAAGTGTTAAAAAAAATTTATAAAACTAAATTGATATTTTAAAATAATTTAAAAAACCTAGACTTCCAATGGTTGATTAATGACTACAAATTCAAGGAACAAATCTCTTATTATGTGGAGTCTTAATTGGGTGCTTTACTTCAATTTATAAATAAATTAAAAAAATCTTTAACGCCGACGGAAAAGGAAAAAGTAAGAAGTAAAGGACTTCCATATTCAGTTTTCACGATTTATCAACAACGTGTTAACAAGGTAAACAAAACTCTTAACACAGGGGAGAACACTTGTATCATAAGCGAATAAAAATAAGTGCTTATTTCGCCGGTAACAAACGCGGTGGCAACCATCTTAACTTAACTCTTCATACCTCCTTCACACCCTGAACGCCAATTTTCACTCAACAACTATCAAACTCCAACACGCTAGCTCTGCCTTCTAGAGACGCGTGGCGCGCCAAGAGGTGGGGCTGGTGCGAGCGCGTAAACAATTTCCACCTCTGCGATTCCAATTTTGCAACCGATAGTTCGATCTATGGTCTATCTCGCCGATCAGTGTTGTTGATATCGTAAAGTGTGTTTGAGTGTGAGGAAGATAGAGAGATGTGGGTGTTTTACCTGATCTCGCTTCCTCTAACAACCGGTATGGTGCTTTTCACGTTGAGGTACTTCGCCGGTCCTGATGTTCCCCGATATGTGCTTTTCACCGTTGGATATACTTGGTTTTGTTCACTCTCCATCATCATTCTCGTCCCTGCTGACATTTGGGCGGTACTGTTTCTTTTTCGTCTTTCTTGATTTTCATTTCCGTTGTTTTATAGTTTCACATGAGCGGGTTTCGTTTTGTTAGAATTTTAGTTTCAATTATGCTGATATATATTTTGTGGTGGTGTTAGTGGTGTAGATTGTCTTAAGTCTTAACTCAGGATTATAGGTTTAGGAATGTTTTACCTAGCTTTCCTCTTGAAGATTGTTGCCAGAAAAACAATGTTGAATTGGATGTTTGATTAGTGTGGAAACTAATTCCGTTTTTTTTTTTTTTTCCATATATATGGTTAGTTCTTCCATTACTTCTTTTTTCCATATATATGGTTAGTTCTTCCATTACTTCTTTTGCTTTACCACTGTGGAACGAATGCATGGGTGGTTTGTATGCCCTTAGGTAATCTAGACTCTAGATTCTGGGAAAGGCTTTAGAGTTTGATAATCATTGAGTAGAGAGAAAGAGAGAGTGTTTGTTAGAGAAACTGAAAAATGCTTGATTACACATTTCAGTTTACAATGTAGTTATTTATAGTTGGTTGTAGAGTGCTACTTATAACTGAATTTTGACAGGGGAAGGGGAGGGAGTTGGGCCAAGGCCCAATTCCCATTACAAGGAAATCCAACCCATATTCCTAATAAAGGCAAGGCATACTGAGACGAGTGGAAAAAGACATGGATTATAAACATTTAACATTTTCTGAATAAAAAGCTTATATCTTAGAGGAAGCCTAATCTTTCAAACGAGACTTGAAATTTTGAACACGGGGAAATTTTTAAAGTAGAAACTTGGAGAAATTTTTTTAGTTCTTTTATAACACTGGAATGTTGTACCTTGGATTAGTGTGATAACGCTAAAATTTGGACAAAAATTAAGCTGTTTCCTTATTATGAACCAGGAAGCTTCATGCCTTTTTATTTTGTAGTTAACCTTGTTTCATTTAAATCTTGTTTAATCTGCTGCATTGCCTCTTCTTTCCTATTCAGCTCAATTTGACTGTTATTTGGCAAATAATGGGGTTTTTTCCCCTTCGAATTGTAGATTTTTGAAACTTTATATTTTTATAAGGTGCAAAGTGCTGTGGTTAATTGAAGAACTGTATGTGTATTATTTCATTCATTAATGGTGTTTCTATGACACTTTCAGACGATAGCTTCTCACACTGAGAATGGAGGTATTTCTTTCTTTTGGAGCTGGTCATATTGGAGTACATTTTTGCTTACTTGGTACGCCAATTTAAAGCTTGTGATCATGTTTGCATCACTTTCATAGCCTTGTATTCCGTGCACTTCAAACGAGGTAGCTTGTTAGAAAGGCACGCTGAATCTGAGCTCCACATGCAGTTGATGATCCAAATTTCAAAGTTTTCTGACCTAACTTGGTTTTTCATGTGATAGTTACTTTGTCATGTGATATATTTTTATGTTTAATTGCTAAACTTAGTTGCTTTTGTGTATGCAGTGTGTTGCTAAATTGGTTTATATACTTGTCTACACATTAATCATGATATTGCAAGGAGATATTTTATTAGTTTTTAAACATTAGAGATGCAATTTCCTCATATTTAAATTATTTATCCTAAGCAGGGCTGTGGTGCCCCTTATTCAGGGTTTTGAAGATGCAGGGGATTTCACTGTATCAGAAAGATTGAAGACTAGTGTACATGTTAATTTGGTTTTCTATCTAATTGTGGGATCCATTGGCCTTTTCGGAATTATTCTTCTCATTATGATGCACAGGAGCTGGTTAGTTCTCATCTTCTTAGCCTTATTTATTTTGTTACCTTATGATGTTAGCATCGTGTTAGCTTCATATCGTTGCTTCTTGGAGTTTCTCTCTCTGTCATCAAGATTGTTGTTTTCGCTTTGTAACTTCCTACAGTTTCCTCAATGTCAACGACACACATGACAACTTATTTCTTTTTATTATTTACTACTATATGCAGACATGCTTTGTTTTGACGCTTAACGGCATACTTTGTTATGATATAAGTGACTGATATATTGAAAATTGACTTGAGTTTGTGCAGATCAAATGTTCCCTCCCTCTGCTTGAGTGAATAATGAGATTTTTAAGAGACTTATGTAAAATATTTATCTTTCTGATAAAGCTCTGGATTTGCAAGTTCAGATTTCAATCTAACTTGTATAGTCTTTTGGCATCTGTGCATTTGATCTGCATGGCTAACACAATTTATGTGATAACATTTTAAAAAAAATCTCAATATAACATCTCGAGTATACAATAATATAGATAAATGCATACCAAAACGTTGTGAGGTCATTTGAAATAAAGTATAGTTATTTTTTTGGTTACTAAGACCGTGCTTGGGTTAGGGTAGGCCATATCATTAGAGTGGTGTCCAACTGTCTTTGGATCTAAATTAGGAACTTGGGAAGGGAGGGGTACGTGGTAGGATGTTCCAGTAGTGTTGAATCTCGTACGAGGAACTTCTAGATTGAATATCTAATAGAGAATAAAATGAAATGCTATGAGGTAGAACAAAGTAAAGTGGAACGGGCTATTTGAAAATTTAATGATTGAATGGAGAAAAATGTTTCCACCCCAATGCCCTCAAGTTGGAGGGCAAGACGAGTTAGGATATTGAATGGAATGGGATGAAATGCACTTCATCCATCATGTTCCATTCTATTCAACCATCTTTCAAAAACTCTAAACAATGGAACCTACTATGTTATTGTTCCGTTCTATTCCATTCCTTTCCCTTGCATATGACCATAAGCATGTATCTGATTATCTGTGAATTAGACTCATGAGATAAAGAAATTACAGGTCTAACCTTAAATTGCATATGTAAGTCATGACTCTTCAATAATCAGTGGCTTCTATGATTTTTCATGTCATGAACACATAAAATATCTTCTCATTACCCAGCTATCTGTTTTTTTTTTTCATATGGTTGACATGACACTTAGCATAAAATAGGGTTTTTTCCACTTGTATTAGTGTGTTTATTTTTCAGTTTTAAATAGAGCCATACTTTTTTTAGGAATGATTTATAGTTGGTTGATACTTTTGTAAGCAGGACTGGGAGTCTTTTGGGATTTGCTATGACTTGCTCAAATACATTTGGACTTGTTACGGGAGCATTTCTTCTTGGCTTTGGTTTAAGTGAAATTCCTAAAAGCATTTGGCGAAATGCCGATTGGACAACCCGCCAGAAAGTTCTTTCCCACAAAATTGCCCAAATGGCTGTCAAACTTGATGATGCTCACCAAGAACTTTCAAATGCTATTGTTGTAAGTCACACCGTTAAAGTTGAATGTAAAATATATTTTGCAATTTTACTGTTAAGAAGACATTACTGTGAATTGATTTATAAAATGTTTTAGTTTTTCATAGAGCCCAACTTAGTCATTGAGTCTATGTAACCAAACCATCTACAGAGACAAGGCTTGGTTGTGGCTGTTTTCCTAGTGCAAATATACTGTTCAGTATTATAAAGCCAACTTTTTCGTGTTTACAATTTATGTCCTACTTATTAAAAAGTTTACTAAAAGAACCATGCTCCCAGTTGTCTTTCTCCAGTTGGCTACATTTCAAGTTCTGTATGCATTGAAAATCTTATTTTTTGATACTCATGCTGAGCAAAAAATATGCATCATCATGGAGTACTGGTTTCAATTTTCAAGAGTCAGTCAGTGACATTTGTATGTCTCCATCAATTCTACATTTTTCTTCCCTTTTGGGAAAAGCATTCCTGTGGGCACTGCATTGTTGACGGTATAAAAACAATGAAATATTGAGTTTTTATCAACTTTTCGTTATATGAAAGATCTCAAAGGAATTATGCTTTTTTTTTTTTTTTTTTTTTGTGCGCATGGTTATGATGCAAAATAAGAATTGCTTGCTTCTGAGTATCTCTCTAAGAAATAACTTTACAACCTATCCCCCAACACACAGACACACATAATTCTTGGAGCTTAATGATTGTTCATTTGTGTAGGTTGCCCAAGCAACCTCCAAGCAGATGTCTAAACGGGATCCTTTGAGACCTTATATGAATGTCATTGATGATATGCTTACTCAAATGGTATTGAGCACTTGCTTAACTTCTTTGATCAAGGGTTTTGATACAGAATCTGTATTGGCAGTTTTGCTATCTTTGTTAGGCATAACATTCAATTTTTCAGTTTAGAGAAGACCCATCCTTCAAACCACAAGGTGGACAATTAGGGGAAAATGATATGGATTATGATACAGATGAGAAGTCAATGGCAAAACTAAGGCGCCATCTTCGAAATGCTCGCGAAGAATATTATAGATACAAAAGGTAAGCCTGTTATCAATTTCATCTGTTCTTGAATCCTTTACAGCATATATGGTAAATTCAATTGTTAGTATTTTACAATGAGGAAATCATTTATTAGATCTATAGCTATTTATTTTTGTTCTACATGTCAATGATAATGCCTACAGCTTATTAATTTGATTAGTGAAAATTAAATTTCTGATCTGTTTGGAGAGTCGAAGAAGGATTTACGTAAGAGGTTGGAGATTTGGAGACGAGTCTTAGAAACATATGACTTTTGTCTAAGCAGAAGTAAGACGGAGTAATTGGAATGTAAGTTTAGCAAAGGAGAAGCGTCTCTAAACTAGAGGTGAAAGTTGGAGACCATATTAGACCACAAGTCACGCGGTTTAAATATCTTGAGCCCGCAATACAAAATGATGTAGAAATATAAGGAGATGTAAATCATTGAATTCAAGCTGAGTGGTTGAAATGGAGGAAGACTCGGGGGTTTTATGTGACACAAACATAACGCTCAAGCTGAAGGGAAAATTTTATTGGACAGAGATAAGACCTGCAATGTTGTACAACACACAATGTTGGGCGGTTAAAATTCAACACAAGAATAAAGTTAGTGTAGCAAAGATGAGGATGTTGCGTTGGATGTGCGGTAACTTGTAAGATTAGACGGGATTAAATTAGAAATGACAATATTAAAGAGTGTTGGGGTAGTTGGAAAATAGAGTTAGGTGGTTTGGGCATGTAGAGAGAAGATCTGTAGATTCTATTGTAAGAATAGTAGATAAGATGGAGAGGAGGCAAACAACTAGAGGTAGACGAAGACCTAAAAAAATTATAAGAGAAACTATTAAGAAAAATCTCGAGATTAATGAATTGGATAGAAACACGTCTTTGATAGAACATTATGGTGTAATTTAATCCATGTAGCCTACCCTATTTAGTGGGATAAAGCTCAGTTGTTGCTGTTGTTATTACGATATATGCCCCGCACATTACTTCTCTAGGTATGATTCTTTTAAATTTTCTGCACTACTACTGAATCTTACAATTGGTGTAATTAATTATTATCCTCATTAATTTCATACTTTTGGCTTTACTTGGACAGTGAAGAGTCCCATCTTTGCTTCCTAGCATCTATTAACATGAACAACACCTTGTAAATCTATGGAAGTTTTATTGCGCATCTAACATAATGATTGATATATGGTGATACTGTATATATGGCAGTTTTATTGTTTGTTGTAGCTCTTACTTCTGTCAATTTTTTACAACAAAGGCACCTTAGATTTCCTTCAGCGATAGTCAAAATTTATTTGATATTATTGCTTTTGCAGTGAGTATATAACTTATGTACTTGAAGCCCTTGAGTTGGAAGATACAATAAAGAATTATGAACGTCGCAACTCAACTGGATGGTTTGCTTCTACCTTATTTTTTCTGCTTTGTTGGTTTAGGAGGATACTTCAATATCCTATAATATATTGCAGTTCTAGAACCCTCACCTTACCCAATATTTCATGCTATATTTTCAGGGAATATAATTCAACCATCAGACCTGATCGGACTGGCAAGTTGGGGTCCTTATTTGATACTTTGGGTAACTACAAGACTTATTACTAAACCTGTTTTTTTCCCAACTTCACGGAATATGTCTTTGCTGCATCTGGAATAGCATGGATTATTTTTTTATGATTATTTGTAATGCTCTTTGGATTGGATTTTGTGATGATATTAACAAAAAAATAATGCTTCGTACCTGACTTGCTCAGACAGTTACTATGACAATGAGACCTCTAGTAATTCTGTTGACATATCTTGCATAATTTTTTTTTTTTTGCATGATCGCAATATTGCATAGGAGCAAAATAATGTATTGACTACTGATATGTTTATGTATTTATGAGCAATTGACTATACGATCTTTATAAACATTGTGGATTTTTATATATACATATATACGAATAAATTTTTCGTAACATGTCTTGACCGTGTTGTATCGTATCCATATTGTACTATGTATCCGGGCTTCTTAGGTTTTATCTCACTTTTGTCTTGCCTTTCTCGAATTAGATTTTCTTGGTACATGTTATGTTGCATTAGTTAATCATGCAAGGATAACTCCCCGTTCTTTTTTGAATAAGGAATATTTTGGTTAGAGGTTGAAATTGTTGTTCTGAACTGATGGCTATTCTTTGCAGAGTTTTTTTGGAAATGCATTATAAGGAAACAAGTTGAAAAAGGCTTTGCTGTTTTACTTGGTATCATGTCTGTTGCGATTCTTTTAGCAGAGGCAACTCTGCTGCCTAGCATAGATCTATCACTTTTCTCCATTCTTATAAAATCCGTTCGAACACAGGAGCTGCTTGTGCAGGTAGACCGATTCTGTTTGAGATATTTTCCGTACAGTGGGCATTTATATGCTATATGTATGTTTATATTTAAAATTTGATTCTCTATTAATATAAAATCTGTTGGGACTCAGGAGATGCTTGTGCAGGTAGACCGACTCTTAAGAGTTTTTTTTTTTTTTTATATATGTAAAATATTTTCCTCTTTTTTAAAAGAGTTTTGGATGAAGATTCCGTTGTGAAATTGTTTAAACTTTTATTGTGGATTTTAGATAAAAAGGGGAAATAAATAATAAGAATTTTGAAGGTTATTGATAATAACTTGGTACAAGAGACTAAATTATTAACCCCTATTTAAAGGGATGCAATACAAGGCCTCTCGCAATCCTAAATAAGTAGGAAAATTAGGAAGAAGATCATAATAACATCTAACTAATATAGATACTAATCTTAGGAGATAATATTATATACTCTAAGATTAGAAACTGATCCTAGGAGATAGGCTAAGATATTCTAACATAATATCAAGTTATTGTGAGATACTATATCTTAGAGGGCGTTTGTTTCATGGATTTTAAAATTATTTCCAAGAATAACTTACCTGGGAATACAATGATGGGAATTTGATTCCAGCGTGTTTTCTAAAAAATGTGTTGGGAGCATAATTTAATATTCCCAAGAAAATTGGCTTTTTTACAAAAAAAATATTTCATGGCAATACACATTTCCACTTTCTACATGGGAGTAAAGTCACGGGAATTGTGGAAGGTATGGGAAGATATTCCGTTTCTAGGAATCTTTATACCTAGGAATAGTTTTTATTTTTCTTCTCAATCTTATAACAAACATGGGTATAGTCATTTTCTTATCATTTTTATTTCCTGAAATCTGATTCTTAGACTTGGAAATCATATAACGTTTTAGATGAAGTCTGTCCTATCTCTTATAACTTCTTTGTGATTTAGACAGCATTAGTTAGTGTATAGGTCAATATGGGTGCGTTTTTGTCTCTCTCTTTAATGAAATAAGCTTTCAGCCCTTTAGGCTCAGGGATGCACATAATGCAAACAAATTGCTAATGGGAATCTCACATGTGTCTTTGCTTCAATAAAATGCTTTTGATTCTACACTGCTACTTATTTGAAATGAAGACAAACTTCATTTTGAATCTCATGTCAATGTTATGCCCAACTGTTCTAACATCTATGCGTTCATGGCAATTTAGAGTTCAGTGTCCCTGTATTGTAAATTATAACAATCTATTTTTAGTAATGTGACTCATGTACTGTGATGTATTTTTCTGTTCACACTTTGATTTTTGTAAAGATTGTATGAAATAACTTACCCTCAACTTCTTGTACAGGCATTTGCTTTTGTTCCACTCATGTACATGTGCATCTGCACATACTATTCTTTATTCAAAATTGGAATGTTGATGTTTTATTCACTGACGCCCAGACAGACCAGCTCAGTTAACTTGCTTATGATATGCTCGTATGTTTTTTATTTGATATATTGCTACCGCTCATATTTGTCTTTAATTCCCTATGATGCCACATGAATACCGGTTATATTTATATCCTATTTTTTCCCAGGATGGTGGCCCGTTATGCTCCCCCTATATCATACAACTTCCTCAATCTCATTCGCCTCGGTCCTCATAAAGAAACTATATTTGAAAAGGTATTCATATGAATCCTTTGACCTGTCAATTTCCTTAAAATATTATTTCTCTTGTCTAAACCAATTAAACTGTGGACGGATGTGATTCCATGTATTATTGTCTGCTGTGATATTTCATTTTGTACTTATCAGTTTGGCATAAACATCAAATTACTTTCAAATGATCTAAACCATTGAGAGGGATCCATGTTTAAACTGCTGTATCATTTGAATTGATTCATATATGATATTTTGACACCATTTGGTCTATTTAGCCAATCTCACTTAGTGGGGAATGGCTTCAGTTGTTTGTCATCCTAGAAATTGCTATTTCAGTGTTTAGCCCAGCTTCTTTAGTCTAAAAAGCTAAACGTAAAAATGATACATTAAAAATAAGTTTAAAGCTCTTTGGTAATTTTAGTTTTTGTTGTCGTTGTGGAAACTACTTTTAAAGTAATAATTGTTTGGTAAATTTTATAAAAGCTCGGTTTCGTTAAAAATAACTAAAATTTAATGAAATATTTGAAAAGTAAAACCATGATTCTCCCAAAAATGTAACATTTCAACTGTCTGATTCAAATAGTGGTCACATTTCAAGAAGCTCCGAAGATGCTCCTGAAAAGTCTCCTCGAACAGCTTATTAAAAAGCTCTTTGAATGTTTTTTTTTTGTATAAAATAAGCTACTCTGTTTATAAGGCCTTAAAAAATTGTTTGGCACAAATTCTCTTAAGGAGCAGAAAAGTCCAAAATAAGTTGGGCAAAACACCCATAACGCTCAACTATTTCTTCATTAAGTTAACGGATGAAAGTTTATTTCCTTCTTTCTATTTGCATTTTAATTGTACATAAGATGACCTATCTTCTTAGTTTTGTTGTCTTTAATTACATGTGTCAGTGATTTTGTTGACTTTGATTTAGTTTTACACGTCTTTTCTATTTTTGTTTCAGGATAACTTTTCTCATTTGTGCTTAACTTAGCTAGCAACTACTAAACTATCTGAACTTTTTCCCCAGAACATTTTTTCTCCTTCGTCAATCTTTTTTTAATCAAGTGCATTATTATCTATGATTGCAGCGAATGGGAAATATTGACAATGCCGTCCCTTTATTTGGGGATAGGTTTAACAAAATCTATCCACTTATTATGGTTACATACACCCTTTTGGTTGCCAGCGACTTCTTTGACAAAGTATTTGATTTTTTGGGGAGCTGGAAGAGATATATTTTCAAAACTGAAGCAGAGGATATGGATGGTTTGGATCCATCAGGAATAATTATTTTACAAAAAGGTATCAAATGAAAATTTCCATCCTTAAAACTTTATATCAAGTTGGTCAAATGACAAATCTGATATGAATTATTGAATGCTGACTTCACAATACTTATGCCTGATTGGTTCTGTTTTATTTATAGAGCGGTCTTGGCTTGATCAAGGGCGCAAAATCGGGGAAGAGCAAGTTGTTCCGCTCGCAAGGAATTTCAATGGAATTGATATTGAATCAGGCAGCAATTATAGGGTATGTAGTAGACATATACTTTCAAAAAGTGGAAGCAATATGATCTCCATTGTTTTCTGTCATGTATCATATATCCAATTTAACCTAATGGATTTTTTAGTTGTCATGTATGACATTTGGAACTACTACTTTCTTTTGGTATTATAGTTCACTCATCTTATACCTTGTACTTCTTCAGGAGAGGAATGGTGTTGAAATGAAGACAACTGATTTAATTACTGAAGAAGGGAACGTAGGTGTGACGAAAACTTTGGATGAAGAGACAAGAAGATATGGCTCGAGCAGAGAAGCTATAAGCAACAAGTATGCAGCGATTAGAGGGCAGGGTGGGTCATTATCTAAATTTAAGGCAGAAGAGAAAAACACAGCCTCTGCTTATTCTGCGCTTGATGAAGGCAATACAAATTCTAAAAGTTCAGCTGGAGCACCGTCTTCAGGTTTGGCTTCGACATGGCACACAATGAAGACAGGCTTTCAGAGTTTCAAGTCCAACATAGGGGCCAAAAAGTTTTTACCTATACGACAAATACAGGAAAATGCAGTGTCTCGAGTGTCCTCGTCAGAGTCACTTGATGATATATTTCAAAGGCTCAAACGGCCATCTTTAGACCAAGTTACTTACAATGACGAGGACTAAGACGGAAATTGTTACTTGTAGTCCTTCTAGGCTATATTCATTTAGCAAGAACTTACAGCTGTAAATTGTTATTGGATTAACAATGCAGGTTCTTATTATCATGTACAGTGATGGGAAAATTATAAATGTTCTGCTTTGGAAAACAACACTAAATCCCCCATTGCAGCCTAAAGATGAAATATAGTCTACTACAGATATAATTGAATACATTACAAATCAAATCAATGTCACACAAATGCTATAGATGATCTTTAGAGTTTAGAAACATTACTTCAAAATTGTACCAGTAGACAGCGTAACCAATGTTTTGCCTGGTTAGAACTTGTAGCCTGATTACATTATCTTTCATTCTGCCCGAGCTACTAAAAAAATCTCAATTTATTTGGAGTAAAATTTGGATGATATAAATTGTTTAGAAGTCAGAAGTATCATTTCTGATGCCTTAAAATTAGTATTGTTTTGGCAATGCAAATGCAAACTCGTTGGGGTTTGAAGAACGTTATTTAATTTCATTTCACTCAGACGATAATTTTACTCCGGTTGCCTATTGGACTGCCTTATTCTTCGGTTAAAATAGATCTAAACTCCCTCTAAATAAATTAGACATGTTTGATGTTTGACAGTATTTGACACTGAAATAATACACATTATTTATTCTTTATAATTATAGCACGTGGGCTTAAAATTGATTGCAAAATAGCACGCCATGGAGGAGAACTGAAAGAATGCAAGATTTTGCTGTTTGTGTTGATGGAATTAAATAATAACAATAAAATGATATAATTGAAATCTAAAGAAATTTCTGATACAATCCACAACCGAATCATTCAAATTATGATACAAGTTCAAAATTTAATATGTAACACATCATGTATCAATCTTCAAGTCCTGGGTTTGACAACAGATTCCTCTGTTTCCTTTCTCTTGAGTTTAAGTACCTTGGACCAGAAGCCATCTTTCTTTCTTCCCCGACCTCCACCAACATCCCTATCCCTGACTCTGCTCCTCGGAGCAACGGCAAGCGACTTGCTCTTCTTCAAATTCAAAGCATTATTAAAGCTTATCATACAAGAAGCAGAACCGGCCGCATGCGAAGCATTCCGATGAAAGCGTCTATTACGACGACCCAAAGAACCATGATTTGTTGAATCATCATCAGTAGGTTGAGGAGAAGAAGGTGACAAAGGAGAACAATAGTAGAGAGAACAATCATTAGGGTTGTTAGTATAAAGCTGTGAGAGTTTGTCTCTTAAGCAAGAGGAACAAACACCTGGTAATTGTTTATCATTTGGATGCTCTTTGCACCTTACTCTTGTTGCTTCAAATTCACAAAACAGCTTCATTTGATTCATTATTGCTAACTTTTTAGATTTGGTGCCTATATGTGCTCGTGTGTATTGTTTATTTATACATCATTGGTCAAAGAAATAATGTGTTGAAAATTGAAATAAAACAATAATACAAAGGTCGACGACTCCGAAGGTTCCTGTTTTTCTCTATAATTGCATTTAATTTTATTAAACTAAATGATTATTTTTATTATTATATTCGTCAGGATAACGCATTGTATTAATAATTATTATTGTATACCAGAACGAGATTATTGTGTTGTGACTGCGTTCAATGTAATACATGTTTTTAGTTTTGTTTTTAAAAGCTAATCTTTCATGAAATCTGTAATTGAAAGTGACAGGCTAATAAATCTATGAAATATAGCGTTTTATTTTGAATTAGTTGTAATAGCGTTTATATATGATCATATGGATGATTTTTTTTTTTGTCTTAATGCTTAAATATATTTGTCAAAAAAATATTATGAGCTGTACTTCTTCCCCGTCACATTATAATTTTCTATTTACGTAATACACAAAAATCTTTTAAAAATTATTTATCATAAGTCCCCTTTATTTAAGGCCGTCTTGTTTAATTCTGTCTAAAAGTGGGAAGTTTTACCCCATACCCCTACACTTATACCTATACCTCTACATTAAAAAATTTTGGACCAAAATATTCTCGTATAAAAATTTATTATTTTTTAATTTTTTTTATATTTTTTTATTTGTTTACCGGAAGACTTTTTGGAAGTCTTCCGGTTCACATTTTTTTTTCCGTATGTTTACCGGAAGACTTTTTGAAAGTCTTCCGGTACATATTTTTTTAGTTTGTTTATCGGAAGACTTTTTGGAAGTCTTCCGGTTCATGTTTTTTTTTTTTAATTTGTAATTAATATTTAAGATTTATTAATTTTATATAAGACCAATTTAGTAAATTTTTGAATATTATACTTAAAATATAAAAATTTTATAAATAGAGAATCATTTTCAGAATATTTTCTATTTACTATAATTATTAGAATACTAGGATTAAAATCATTTATTTTAAATGATCATAATAGTAGAATTTTCTCAAATATCTTATTAATCTTAAACATTAATAAATAAAATAAATTTAAATATAAGATATAAGTTTACATTATTCAATATATTTAATCAAATGAAAACATATGTGATAAATAAATAATGTATTTTAACTTAAAATGATCACAATAAGTTAACTTGCAAAATAATATAAGTAATAAATTAATAATGTATTTTATTTAAAATAATCACAATAATAAAATACGCAAATAATGTGTTTTATTTATAGGACTGATATAGTTTTATTGATTATTTAATTTTGAATACTACTATGAATATAGTATTTAATCTATACTTTAGAACTCACATAATTATAAATATAAAAAATATTGTTTTATTACCCATATTTTTATTTAATTAAAAAAAATAAGAATATAAATTTATTATTTGTTTTTCATTTTTGTTTGATCTTTTTAATTATTTCACTTTATTTAATATTTTTAATAAAATAAATAATATATTTTATTTAAAGTAAGCACAGTATAGAATATGCAAAAAATAACATTAACAATTCACTGGTATTATAAAACGACTTATATAATATAATACTACCATAAACTAATATAGAACATAAATAAATATTATGTTCTATATAAATAATTTAAAAAAAAATATAGAATAGAAAATACAAATCTATAAATAAAAAGGTTAATAAAAACAATGTGACTTTTACTTTAAAATAATAATAAGATTTATAAATATAAAAACTAATAAAAATAATGTGTTTTTTACTTTAAAATATTAATTAGATTTATATCGAAAATAATATGAAAATTTAAATAAAAAATTACAAAAATAACGTTAAAAATAAATTTCATTTTTCTTTTGTAACATAATTTTTTTCAAAATTTTTATTAATTTATAAATATATTTTTATTTTTATTTTGTAACATTCTTATAAATAAGTTAAAATTTCTGATTTCTTTTTGAAAACTTTTGTTAATAAAATAGGATTTTAAAACAAGGCTACCAAAACATAAGAAAAATAAAAATAGGAGGATGGAAATTTTAATTAAGTTAAAAAAAATATTAATAGATCAATTCGTCGAATCAAGAAACTCATTGGTTCACTGGTCTGTGATTCTTGAGAAGCATAGAGCAAGGACTTTTGCTATCTTCCCATCTTGAATGACAAAAATTATGATAATTCGTGTAAGCAGATGAATGTTGTCTTCTGCTATCAAGATGTTTGAGATCTTGTGAAGAATGTAGTAACACCAAGGCGAGAATACCACAGATGAACAAAAGGCGGCACATAAATATTCAAAAAAGAAAGATTATAAAGCTCTATGTATAATCCATCAATCCGGTGATCCATAAAACTTTGAAAATGTTGGGATATAGACTCATCAAAGGAAGCATGAGACATCATAGAGAAATCTTTTGGAAGCGCTGACAAGGTGAAATAGGTGAGGTTGTAAACTCACAAAAGAATGTATGAATTGCTTCAGATGGAAGAAAACAAAGTGTTATTGATTTCATCACCAGAGTAACAAGACTGATGGATCAAATCAAGATGTGTGGAGAAGTGTTTACGTCAAGATCGATAGTTACAAAAATCTTGAGGTTATTGCTTCCAAAGTTCGATCATGAGGTAGTAGCCATAGAAGAATCGAAGGACCTGTCAAGCATGACAAAGGAAGAACTTCAAGGAACTCTTGAATCCCATGAAAAAAGAATGATTGAAAGATCTACAAGCAATACAAAGAGTGACGTGACTCTGCAGACACAATTAAGTAAAGATAAGAAAGGAAAAGGAAAATGGAATGGAAATAAAGGTAGAGGAGGCTACCACAATTCAACTGGTAGATGAAACCTACAAGAAGGTAGCTCATCAAGTCAGAGACAATCTTCAAACTAAAGCAATCGCAGAGGTAATGCTGCAGGTAGAGAAAGAGTTGATGGAAGAAAACCTGGAAAAAGCCATATTCAGTGTTATAACTGTCAAAAGTATGAACATTATGCAATTTAGTATTGAGGAGGTAAGAAGATCAAAAAAGTGATACAAGACTTACAAAACAAGAAGAAGATGAAGTGTTGTTGATGGTCACAACAAAAGAAGAAAGATTCAATGATCAGTGGTATCTTGACTCAAGCTACTCACCACACATGACTGGAAGGAGAGATTGGTTAATTAACATCAGTCTCTCGATGAAGAACACGGTGGAATTTTCTAATGATAATGCCATAAGTGCAGAAGGTATCAGTGATGTTCTGATGACGAGGAAGGATGAAAAACAATCGTTGATCTCCAATATGTTGTACATACCTGGCATGAAAAGTAATCTGCTAAGTATAGGCTAGCTTATCGATAAGAATTACAAAGTGGTGATTGAAAATAAAATGACGAGAGTACTAGAATCAAGTGACAAGTTAGTCTTGAAGGCTCCCATGTCTCATAATAGAACCATCAGGATTAAACTCAATGTGTTGGAACACATGTGTCTGGAAAATGTAGCTAGAGGGATGAATGACTATGAAATTACATACATGGTCATCTGAATTTCAATGACATTAGCAACATGAAGAAAAAGAACACAATTTTAGGTTTACTAGTAATCGACATTCCAAGTGAAGCGTGTG